CAGTATTGTGCAATTGAGCTATATACATGGTGAGCAATCATAATACATTTTAAAATTGTACAGAAATATCAATTTACCTCAATTAATTTTTAAATAAAAATTACTCATGAAATGATTTCAGTGTCTGAAAGGAATTTGCTCTCTGGACAAAACATGACCAGAAGCACGACTGACTACCCTAGGTTTGCCTATATATAGACATCGAAGCTAGTTTTGTGATTCTTGCCAAGGATGCAGCCTTGAAAAGGATTGTTTCTTTTCTCTTGAGCCCAGCGTTGTCAGGATGCACTTGGAATGGTGAGGGGGATGGGGGGAGTGGGAGGGAGGGGGGTGGGGACGACTTGGCAGAGCCAGGCGGGCCTGACAAGTCGACTTTCGCGGTTAACCAAGCGGTAGATGTCAGTTGGCCGCCCGGCCCCCTTTTAGTTACTGACAGGAATTAGTAAAGTAGGGGTGTTTTCTCTTTCACCCTCTCTCTTTCAAGTGCAGGTATTTTCTGAGTGGTGTTGATTCTCAGTGGATTTGGCTATGCTGACCACTGGGCATTTATCCGTAGCCTGTGCAGAATTGGTGTTATTTTTTTATTTTAATTAAAAATAGCTTCCGATAATCCTGCATCCTTTCATTGGTTTTAAAATCAGATCCAGTGAAGGACCAAATTCTTTATAAAAATCACGACTGCTTTTGGAAACCCATATCTTCAGTTCAGGTTTCTAAGCGGCAATAAATACGAATTAAGGATTCATTAAAATTTTTATATTTGCAATTTCAACTTTTGACACCTTTCTAAAAACTCGCTCTATGTGTATATCTGAAGTTTTAAATTTTCCTTTGGTGCTGGATCCAGAGTGCAATTTTAAAAACTTTATGTCAAGGTGGATGGAGATACTCACTTGCTGTTAACATCATAGGGGTTGTTTTTGCTCCCAGGAGACCATGGCCTGTGTGCTGAGAATCACACGGGAGCCAGACACTGCCTGTGTTTATTGATTTTCCTCAGGCAGGGTAAGGAAAACGGCCCTGTGGAATTCTCTGTTACATAGAAGTGGGAAAGCAGTTGTGAAAAGGAAGCTAGCTGAGGTGCTTGACACACAGTTCACGCTCGTTTTAAAGTGTACTGATACTTGGCTATAGAATCAGGGTTCCTTTGCCTGGTGAGCTGAAGACTTGCCCACGTCCCGTGGGGAGCTGTGCTTCCAGACCCCTTCCCTCCCCAGGCTTTTTAATGGGCAGTGAATCCAGAACGGACCTCACAGAATCTGACCATCACTGATGGAAAAGCAAAGTAAACATCGCCACCTAAATTAATTTTTCATCTATTCACGAGTCAGTGTGCTTTGTACCACATTTAGAAACGTGGCTACTCAAGTAAGAATTTCTTTCTGTCCACACACCAGCAGTATTGCACTCTGCACAGGTGAACATCGACACCTGGAAGATTTCTGTCTTAGTCAATGCTTAGGAACCATCTTTTGTCTTTGGTCCAGGTCAGGAGTCTAAGAAAGTTCATTGAGACCTGGGTTTCCAGGTTAGTTTTTGTTTTTTTTTTAAGTTTCTGTTTCTATGAGTTTAATTTGGAGAACAGTACCAGGTTGTTTTTAAAATTGCTAAATCAAACTGTCTCCTCCTACTGTTTATGATGTCCCTTATAATGATTAACATATGCCTTTTCTGCCTTCAGGTTTGTAACAAATGTGAAACAGTTTCACAGGTTAATTCTAGCCTTATTTCTTTGTGGACTCTACATAGCTCAGAAGCATCATTTTATGACATTTTAATTTTCAAAATATTAATAGCATGAGTTATATCATAAGCCATAGTACTTCTAACTGAATACAGTATCCCTTTGGTGTTCGAGTACATACACTTCCTATGACCCTAAGTTTCAAATTGTAGTAATAGTATAGGTTACATCTAAAGCCATAGTATTTGTAACTGAATATAGAATCCCTTGGGGGTTAAAGCACACACATGCTTTTTTCCTTATTTACTTTATTTTAAGACAAAAAGAAAATAATACGTTTTTTACCAATAGAGATACTTTAAAGTTTTTTATTGAATTTATTGGGGTGCCGTTGGTTAATAAAACCATGCAGGTTTCAAGTGTACAACTATAACACATCATCTGCACACCGCATCGTGTGCTCACCACCCAAAGTCAGGTCTCTTTCTGAGCACATGTATGATTTTAATCCTATGTGCCAGTATTTTATCAGATCTATCACCTCCTTTAGGGCAAAGACTAGACTTATTTTGAAACAATTCAAGTCATAGAAAAAAGTTGCAAAACTACACTGATTTTCATGTACCCTTCACACAGCTTCCCTAAATATTAACATCTTACATAGTCACAGTGTAGTTATGGAAAGCAGAACTGACACTGATATAGTAATATTAACCAATGTAACAGACTTACTCTACTTTTGCCAACTGTCTTCCTAATGCCTTTGTGTAGGTCTGGGATCCCACAGTGCACAGAATCGTGTCTCCTTAGTTGCACCTCGTCTGCAGGAGTTTTTCTTCCTTTAATCCTTTTAAAGAGCCAATGGCCACTAGTTTTATAGGATGTGTCCCATGCTGGGTTTATTTGGTTGTTTTCATGCTAAGAATTGGCTTATGCATTTTTGGCAAAACTACTGCAGAAGTGAGGCTGTGCTCCTCCTGGTGTTATTGTAAGGAAGTGTGCATGACGTCAACATGTCTCATTGCTGCTGATCTGACTTTAGTCTCTTAGTTGAGGTCTATCAAGTTTCCCTGTTGCAAAATTACTATTGTTCCCACTGGAATTAATAAATATCTTGAGAGGACGTTTTTCAAGGCTAGGCAGATATCCTGTTTTTCAGTGTACTTTTTGACTATTTTATATTCCACGGATAATTCTTTTTAAAAGATTTTATTTATTAGTTCTCAGAGAAAGGAGAAGGAAGGGAAAAAGAGAGGGAGAGAAACATCCACGTGTGAGAGAAACATCAGTTGGTTGCCTCTCTCACACCCACAACCGGGGACCTGGCCCCCAACTCAGGCATGCACCCTCAGTGGGAATCAAACCAGCAACCTTTTGGTTCACAGGCTGGCGCTCAGTCCACTGAACTTTACCAGGCAGGGCTGCACTGATCATTCTTACCTGCAACAATTATTACTTGGTGTTTGCCAGATGCTGATGTATTTTATTTCCATCATTTCTTCATTTCTTCATTAGAATTCTGTAAGAGCTATTTCTTCTTCCCTCATTTATTCAGTTAGAATATCAGTGTGGACTCATGGATAGGATTATTTATTTCGTTGCCTAAATTATTCCAGATCTGGCCACTGGGAGCCCCTTCAGGTAGGTTCTTGTGTCCCTTGACATAGTCTCATCAGTTTTTCATTTATTGAGTTTAGAGAGAAAGAGAAACGTGATTTTTGTTGTCCCACTTATTTATGCATTCATTGGCTGATTTCTTGTATGTTTCCTGACCAGGGGTCCAACCCACCAGCTGTGGTATATCAGGAAGATGCTCTAACCACTGGAGCTAGCAGGCCAGGGCATCCCCATGATTTTTAAACAGCTTGTCACTTCTTCTTTGGCACCATAAGATGTGCCAAAGTTGGAAGTTATTTTGCTTCCCAAAAAGTTATTTTGCTCTAGCCCCAAAGTTGGTCATTTCTCCAAAGATTCCTAGTTTTTTAAGTTGGAAATTGATATTTAGAAACAAAATTTGAGGTATGCTCGTTGCTACTGGTATACCATTGTTTCTATGCCCTCTCCGCTGGCAGAGTAAGGAAATGTGTACGTACACACATACAAACCCCTTTCTTCGTCTGTATCTTTCTATCTATATGAATATCTACCTAGTAAAGAGTGTAAGTTCATCCTGACATTTCTAATTACAAGCCAATACCACTCATTTCTTTCTAGGCTTCTTCCCGTCCTTTTTTGTAGCTCCTTTCTCCAACAGTGAGAAACTGGCTTTCTGTTATCTGTATAGTGTTTGCTCATTTGCTCAACTCTAGCACACATGTAAATAAGTTTCAGAGTTGTGATCCCACGATCCCTGTGAGAAACAAATTCACTAACTAGACAATAGTGTTTGGGTACAGTTTTGTTGTCTTTAGTTTTACGATATATAGTGAAAACACTGATTTCCAAAATTATTCAGGGTAGACCTTTTCTTCTCTGTCTTGTTCAGTGTAGTTATGTTGTCTGTTTGCAGTATGACCACGTCCATTCGTTGTTTGTGTTCCATTTGGGCTCTCCCGACACTGAGAGGGTGGTTTCGATCAGTTATTCGGGAGGAAATGGGCAACGCCCCTGTGGTTCTAAGAGTCAGAACTCTGTGAAGAGGCGTCTCAGAAAAGTGCCCCCCTTGTCCTTGTTTCCCATGTCCCTGCCCCATTCTTTCTGCCAACTCACCCCACCTCCTGAAGTTAACCAATGTCATTAGTTTCTGGCTTATTCTGTATTCCTTTTTTGTACAGATAAGTAGATACATATGTGTGTTCTTATGTAGTGGCTACATTTTGATGGTTTTTATGGTACTGGGCAATGCTGTTTGGTGATTTTGTCTCTCAAGGATGCCGTTTATGTTTGGTGTATCCTTACTGCTGATGTATTAGAAAGCTAGTAAAACTATTGTTTTCTTTCTAGAAAAATAGGTTGGGGATTTTTCTAGAATGAAAATGAGAATGTGAATTTTGATATGGCCATTAGCACTAAACTGTCAAAAAAAAAAGGTAACAGCAAGCTGCCATGTTTTTCAGCTTTTCTTTTAACCCATTATATATTTTTAGCAAGATATTTTAAAATTTTATTGCTCCTTACTAATCAAATTCAAATTATTTTAAGTATCAACGGCAGCTGCTAGACTGTTATGTAAAATATGTAGTGTTTGCTTCTGCAAGTCTTGCAAAATAGTTCTTCTCACAAGCAAAGCAAAGTGACACATTCCCCCAAGCCTGTTTAATAGTGCTATTCTGGTGCATTTCATTGTGCGCTCTTTTTCTTTTCAAATACCCTGCAGGCCTTTGGCCAGTCCTTCTCCATCCACCGGAAAGTTGCTGAGGATGGAGAGACCCGGGAGGAGACGCTTCTGCAGGAATCGGCCTCAAAGGAAGCTTACTACCTGGGGAAGATCTTGGAGATGCAGAACGAACTGAAGCAGAGCCGGGCTGTAGTCACCAACGTGCAGGCAGAAAATGAGAGGCTCACGGCCGTCGTGCAGGACCTGAAGGAGGTAATAAATACCCCAAGAGAGGTTTGTGGGAGAGAGAAACAAGATCAAGTTCTGTAATAAACCTGTCTCTTTAATCAGAGGAGCTATATTAAGCAAGAAGCATATAATGCTGATGCTAGCATTTTTTGGCTTTTTTTTTTTAGTGAAATAACAGCTTGTTCTGAGATGAACTTTTCTCATTGTTTATTGAATTGAAGTCTTTATTTATTGAGTATTTGAGAATGGAGCTTGCTTTTTCTGCAAAAGTATTTTAAAAATACAGTGGCTGCAGCACCTCTTCCCCCTTTCCCCGCGTGAGTACATTGTGGAGAAGGGTTGGCCGTGGTGCTGTGGGTCCGCACTGATCCACAATGACAGTGGTGTCTGCTCACGACTCCTCACAGTGGGGAAAACGACCTTGGGAGAGTGTTCTGAGGGGTTGTAGAGACTGGCAATACAGAACCATAAAGTTTTTCTGGTTGTAGACAAAGCAGCCAGCCGGTTATACCCAGTGTGAATTAGGGGTGGGAGCCCTCCTCCCCTGGTCCCCGGGCCTCCATGGGACCCCCTGCTTCTCTTCAGCCTCCTCACGGCTGCGGCACATGCCAGGTCATTTTCAAACAGTCTGCCAGTGAAACTGGGGACACGGAGAGCCAAAAGCAGCTTTATCCACCAAACCTGTTTAAGAGCATTTTAGGAAACTTCATAATAAATCATTCACTCCAGTTTTTTGATATGAAAGCTGCAGAAGAGGTGCTGATGTCACCTCATTCCTACACCGGTGCAGCAGGAGTGACCAACAGGTCCCAGGTCCACAACTAAGTGGGCTTAGCAGCGATTGAGTGTTTTAGTTATAAAAAAAGGTGGGATGAAAAAAATCACTCGATATTGTGAAATGTAACGAGTAACCCACTGATACCTTTCTTAAAATTGGTGACACATTGCAAATAGGGTTTCATTATTCTGAGATATAAGTTGTCCAAAATTTATTGATATTTAATCAATAATTCACATTTACACATTCTATACTGCAGTGAACTAAATGAATACCTACAGTAAGGTTTGTGGTTTAACCTAGTTCACTGTTGTGGACATGCCCAAATATAGTAGTGTGGTTTGTGGAGACCAAGAAAGGAGCCAACTAAGTAGAAGATCGTATGTATTCTACTAAGTAATCAGAAGAACATGAGATAGTTTTCAGGATGCTCTTCCTTTCTTCCCTCCCCCGCAAATGATTGTTAAAAATCAAGCTGCTCTCTAGCTCTTTCTCTACCTGATGCATCTGTATGTGTGTCCTGGGTTTGGGTACCAGACTCTCTTCCTCCTAAGAAATCGTCATTCACCTTTTCAATCCCAGGCTTCCTTGTGAGACAAGCATCTATTGCAGAAGTGGACCCAAGGTCATATAGTGACATAGACCACTCTTGCTTAAACAAGATATTGAACAGCCTCAGAGGGCAACCTCAGTGGCCATGAGCAGCAGGTTCATGTGGTGAGTAGGCAGACAGGATGTGACCTGGGCAACGTGAGGGTCCAGTGCACAAACGTGCAGGTGATTTGCGGAGAGCTGTGACCAGTGAGTCCAGATCCTCCAGCTGCACATCTCTGTGGTCACAGCAGCTGCAGCTGAGGAAGGTTGAGGAAGGGGCAGAGAATTCAGAGGTATTTTTCTGTTGAGGCGAGACAGTGGTGATTGTCAGAGCACCCTCAGTTAGGCACCCCGTGCTTGAGCACAGCTTCCAATGAGTAGATCTGTAATAAGCAGCAGGAATTGGTAATTAAGAATGAGGATGCAAGTTAGGAATGAAGTGAGGCAGTAAAGAAAGAAAAATTACAGGAGCCCTTCATTCAGTTAAGTTCCGAAATTTTAGTGAACCTTGGAATCAGAGAGCTCATCAAAACTCAAGTCCTGGGCCCTAGCCCCAGAGCTTCTAAGTTAGTAGTTCTCTAATTTAGACTTTGGGGCTGACTGAAAGCTGGGAGGGCCGTGTTATAAGCTCACAATTTAGGGGCTTGCTATAGCACCATAATGTCCTGATTGGATTGCTTTGTTATTGCCCTTCAATATCTATGCATTTTTAATAGTTGATTTGTAGGAAGTGAATATAACTCGTTGGGTCCAAATGAATGTGGTTTTAAATTGAAAATAGCTCCAGGATATTTGGTTGATGAATGTCTTCATTCAGGTTTGTCAGATAATGAAAAGAAAGAAAAAGAGCAGGTTGTCTGTTTCTTGGTCTTTTAAGCGGGCCTGCAATGTATTTCTTGATACTGTTTCTGACGGGCTGAAAGCTAGTGCTTTTTATTTCTGCTCTGGTTGTTAAGAAGCTACAGGACTATGTTTAACTGTACAAACTAGCCTAGGTTTTTCATATAAATCTTACTTTCAAACATTTTCATCAGTCTTATGGTACATATGTCTTTTTTTAAAAAGATTTTATTTATTTATTTTTAGAGAGAGGAGAAGGGAGGGAGAAAAATATTGATGTGCAAAAGAAACACCAGTCCATTGCCTCTCACACACCCCCAACCAGGGACCCAGCCCACAGCCCAGGCATGTGCTCTGACCTGAACCAACGCTGAATTGTGAATCAACGACCTTTCAGTTCGCAGGCCAGCACTCAGCCCACTGCACCACACCAGCCAGGGCTTATGGTATAACTCCCTTTAATGGCAAACTGCTTTAAATAATTTTTAAAGTACAGGGAGTATTAAAAAAATAACCCAAATCAAAGGGCCAAATTATGAGTGAATCCTCCAGAGCCAATAATAGAGGAAACAAATCCCTGGGTTGCCTCGAGGTGCATCATTTGGCTGAGAGCTTAAAGAGAACAGATAGATCGCCGCAGTGCCTAGGCAGATAATTAGTAAACAAGCTCAAATCTGGTTTTTCTATCTCAAACTGTAGGTCTTAATGGACTCGAAGAGAGCCTAAGTAGGTTTATTTGGACAATATTTATTGAATTCTTATTGGCACTAAATTAAACTAAAATCAACATTGATGAAATCACAAAATAGGATAGTAAAACTTATAATACTACTGAATACTTTCAATTGTTAGATAAGGTAGAATTTACCGCAATATTTACACACAGCATGCAGTGCAGTTATGCCAATATTCCTAACCAGAATTGCTGTTTGTGTAAAAATGAGATGTCGCAGAAGGTAGGCCACTGGGGGCGGAATGCACACGGCTAGTTGTAAGGTGGAATCCTGACCATAGGCGAGATTGAGCCTGTACTTGGAAGTGCAGATAACTGAACGTTCAATGGCCAGCAATGTGCCAGGCACTGTTCTAAATTCTTTACATGAATTAACTTGCCGAGTCCTTATAACAACCCTATTGAGGTAGGTCCTATTACTATACCATCTCATTTTACCAATGGGGCATGTGACTCATGGAGAGGTCCAGAGCTTGTCCAACACGCATGAGTAATGTGTGACCATCCAGAACCTGAACTCAGAAAACCTGGCTGTGGTGGAGACATTCTGAGCCACGTCACTGTGGTTGCCAAGAACACACTTCCCTCTCCTGAATCTTGCCTCAAGCTAATGAAATTTCTGGCACAGTATATGAAGCTTTAGTACAATGGATAAATTTGTAACTTGTTAGTAATACTTTTATTATGATGTGGCCATTTTAAGAGCTGTTTAATCCGTGTGATTTTTATTATAGTTCAAGCTCCACTTTTCCCCTATTGAAATTTACAACCAAATTGCATAAAATACCAGTGGCTCAATTTCCAGAAATCTATTATTATGCCAACATTACAAATATATCCGTTACGCCTTAAGAAATCCATATCTCTAAACTTTTAGAGTGTGAATGTACCTTAGTGATTGGTTAAGATTAATAATTTTTTCTCCCGCAGTCCTGAATGGCCATCTACCCTTTCTGCAGACACTCCCAGCACAATGGAGAAGATGAACTGGGAGTCCTTCAAAGGGAGGACTTGTTTTGCCTGTCATTTATCTTTGTGTCCCCAGCATTGGGCACAGTGCCTGGTCAAAAGTAGACATTAAAAAATAACATTTGTTGAGTTGAGTTGAAGTGGAAAAAAAAACATGCTTTAGTAGCTAGCTACCGCTGGGTTTGTTTTAGCCAGACCACTTACCAACTGTGATATTGACAATTTACTTTTGTTTTCTAAGTTTCACTTTCCTTCTAACATAGCGGTGTCCCGTGTCCTGTGTCCTGTGTTGAATGTCTGGGACAATGGAGATGTTAAATCACTATAATTTCCAGCTCCCTTCCACGGCTGCCCTCCTGTTGCTTGGCAGCTCTGATTGTTAAACTGCTTGTTTTTGTTCAGTGAAAGGTCGACTCTGTGAGTTTTACCACCTGGTCATATTTCTAGCATCTGGATCTACAGAGAATACTTTAAAAAAATCCTCGACTGAGGATCTGTTTATTGATTTGAGAGAGAGAGAGAGAAGGAGGGAAACACTGGTTGCCTCCCCTGTGTGCCCCAACTGGGGATAAAACCTGCAACCTGTGTATGGGCCCTGACTGGGGATAGAACCCTCAACCTTTTGGTGGAGGGGGACAATGCTCCAACTAACTAAGCTGCCCAGCTGGGGCCAGAGAATATATTTTTAAAATTTCCTATTCCACTTGACAACTTTAGCCCATGCCCAGTAGCTTCAAATATTTGGAAAGAGTGGTCCTGTCTTTCCTTTTTCATGCTAAACGTGTTTAGATCCATTAGTGCCACCTCCTGTGACGTGCCTGCAGGGCGTCTCCACATCCTGGTTATCACCGTCTTAGATCGACATCCAATGTCTCTCAAAAACGTGTTTGCTCTTTTTTTAGAAAAGTGTTTACTCTGGACTGTTTTTATTCCTTTTTGGAACCCTTGAACATTTGAAATGTTGGACCTAGGTTTTGAGTTTCTCATCTTAGGGTTTTCATCTTTTTTGACTTTTAACTTTGCAGTCATGCATTCATTCATTCTGCAGAGGTCTTCTCAGTGCTTACTAAGTATAACCCAGATGCTTGGAAACATCGACACACCAAAATC